TTTGCTGGCTTTATCCACACATTCAACCTTTCTGGAAGATGTCTTTAGAGAACACAGAACCGGGCATAAAGTCTTGGTTCAACAGACTAGGTGTGTAGTTCAGTGGCAGAATAAGTATCTAGCATGCTAGCGTGGGTCGGGTCTTGGATTTGATGCCAAGAATTGCCAAAAATAAAAGCTCAAAGGCATTATATAGATGATGACTTAAAAGAGTAATGTGAGTTCGAGGCCAGCCTGGTTTACAGACCTAGTTCTAGGACGGTTAGGATTGTTACACAGAGAAACCCTGTCTTGAAAAAAAAATTTTAAAAACCCAAACAAACAAACAAACAGAAAAAGAGTAATGTGGAATCTGGCAGTGGTGGCTTACACCTTTAATCCCAGCACTTGGGAGGCAGAGGCAGGCAGATCTCTGAGTTCTGTGTCAACCTGGTCATTCTACAAAGTGACTTCCAGGTCAATGCTGTTACACAGAGAAATCCTGTCTCTCTAAAAACAAAAAACAAAGCAAAACAAAACAAAGCAAAGGGGTGGGTAATGTGTGCCAGCTTTGTAAATATCCTAGACTCTGAGATGAAAAATGCTACTTTTTTGTGCTTCCTGTTTGATTGTTGAGCTGAATTTCCAGAATTATTATCTAGTCCAGGATCATAGAGGATTTGCCAAACACTCTTGATTCTTTGGAACACATGACTAGAAACAATTTGAAAGGGTTTCTTGGTTTTGGTTAAAGACCAAAGTAGTAATAAGGCAGGCATCTTCCTTCTGCCCCAATTAACATCCAGCCTTCACACTTTCGGTTCTAAATAACGCAGTGTGAACTACTCAGACCTGGAGAAAACACTACTCAGTGTGTATACTTCACCTTCCCCTGAGAAGCTACCTTGAAAGAATTGTGTCACTGCACTACTGACCCAGGATATTCTCTACAGTGTAGCCATGGCAGCAAAGAGCTACAGTCTTAGGGTTGAGCAAAAGAAAATGCCCATCACTGTGGACACTAGGTACCATGTAGCTCTATGGGCGTGACTGTGAAAGAACAGGGTCAGAAGGATGTGCATAGCCTGCTCCGTTGTTATAAAGGAAGGGATAATCTCTATATTGGTAAACACCGGTCGGTCAGTGTGTATGTGTGGTGTGTGTGTGTGTGGTGTGTTTGGTTGGCCTTTACTTGCTATCTGGCTCAAGCATTCTCAAACTCATAGCAGTCTGCTGAGTAATGAGATCACAGGGGTATACCCTGTGCCCATATCACCAGTCACCTTTGAGGGGAAGGAAGCAGGCAGTAGCACTATGTAGCTAAACTGATTCTCCTGTTTCTTCCTCCTGAGTGCTGGGATTACAGGTGTGCACCACCACACCTGGTTTAATGTGGGTTTAGGGATTGAACTGGGTTTTGTGCAAGCTAGGCAAGCACTCTAACTCAGTCTTGTTCCTCAGCTCCTCATCAGTCACTTTAAAAGATTTATTTTTATTTATGTGTCTCGTGTGTGTGCGCGCGCACGTGTGTGTGTGTGTGTGTGTGTGTGTGTGTGTGTGTGTGCAATTGTTTGCAAGTGCCCAAGGAGAAGAAGGCATCAGGTGGGTATTGGGCCCCTGGTGTTAGAGTTACAGGGAGTTGTGAGCTGCCTCACATGTACTCTGAGAATTGAACTCCAATCTTCCGAAAGAGCAGCAAACACTCCTAATCACCAAGCCATCTCTCTTAAGCACCCAATCCCCATAAGTCACTTTAGAAAAAAACAAGCTAATGGCTATCCTCAGCAATAGAATGGGGCCTGGGACCAGGGTGAGCTTGTATCACATGAAAGGGAGCAGATAGAGGAAGGAGAGGGAAAGTTTATTGCAGAGTTAACAGTCAATAATAACATGGTGGAAATACTAGACTCATTTGCCTCCAAGTAAGATTGTAATGGGCAGAGGTTTTCTTTTTCTCACTTTATACATGGGAAATTTGAAGGTAGCTAGAATGTCATTGCTTCAAACCTTTGATTCCTTAACTGTCAGCTTTTGAGATGGAGGGTGGAGAAGCGGTCATTGTTCCATAATAAGCACTTAATAAAAGTTTAGTTTTTGAATGATCAAAAACTTTTGACCTGATTGGGAGAAGTAACTCCAGCTACATTGTTTCCCAGCAGCCAGCACAGGAAATCGCCTCTGCTAAGGGCACCTGTGGCCAGTGACCAACCTCTAAAAGCATCAGTTTATTGGTGCAATGTGTTTTTACTCTTCAGAGATAGTGGGAAAATGAGGGATTCCTAAGGATACACAAAAGAGTGCTGGGTGAGTGTGTTTAGACTCCTCTTAAAACAGCCCCTAGAGAAAAGCCCAAAGTGTGTGTTTTCCCTTCTGTTATCAGTTTCCTCGATAAACTCAACTGATGTTTAGGAAAGGGAGACAATAAACTAATGAAGAATTGAGGCCTTTCTTCTTTCCATATACCAGAATAGAGAGATTATTGAAAATGAAATAATGTGATTTTTTAAAAAAAGTGAGCAAAATGCAAACAGCACCAAAAAATGTAGCATGTAGGTATTGAAAACAACATTCACACTTGTTTTGTACTTTTGAAAACAATATACGTTTCTTGTAGGAGATTTAGAAAGCACAGATTCACTGGCAGGGGTAAATTTCCAGGACTGAGATGAAGCTCAGAGGTAGAGAGTGCTCACCTAGGATGTGCAAGTCCCTAGGTTCAATAGCAGGCACCAGCTCCTACCACTCCCCTCTCCCCTTCCCTGCCCCCTCCAATTATCACTGACAACAGTATAATTGGATATTTTCCAAATTATTTTGTGTGTGAATAAATATGTATGAAAGTAGTAGAAAAAACATATTCTAGCCTACTGTTTACTAAATACATTGTGTATGTTAACCCACCCATTACAGTCATTCTTTAAGAAAAAAAAAACTTTTTAATCAGATCATTCTTAGCCAGTTCCTTGTTCAAGCACATCACCATAGTGTGTGTGGGTGTGGGTGTGGGTGTTTTGTTTTTTGAGATAAGGGCTCTCACGTAGCCTTGGCTGGCCTAGAATTCACTATGTATACCAGCCTGGCCTCAAACTTACAGAGACGGAATAGTTGGGTCAAATGATACTTTAAAACTTTCCGATCTAAGGCTAATTTTCATAAAGAAGGCATTTGCATTCCCAAGAACACTGTATATTTACCAACCTTAGGAGTCATGTGCTAAAAAAAAAAAAAACCTTGACAGTGGGGGGGTAATGATTGACAACAAACTATAATAACACATAGGTGAGAAATGCCATTACTTTATATGCTAACCTAAAAAAATTAACAAACGCAAAAATATCCTCAGTAAAGATAGGCTCCAATTTTTAAAAATTGTGTTTGTTAGTGAATATGGGAATGCAACTGTCCTTGTGAATTTTTTTTCATATTGTGCCTATTCATGATCTCCATCCATTTCTACCTGAAGATATTAAGGTTTTCACACATTTTTCTAAAGATATTCATACATGCATGAATGTACATCATATTTGTTTAACCCCAGGTATGTTATATTTTTTATGAGGGCTCATAAATGCTAAAACCATTTCAGATCAAGCTTATCATAGCTTTTTTAAAAAAACCTCTTTCCTTTTAAATCTCACATAACCTAGACACGGCTCAACTTCTGTGTAACCCAGGTGGATCTTGAATTCCTGATTCTTAAACTGCAGCCTACCAGAGTGCTAATATCGCAGGCATGTACCACTATGGTAGACTTTCAAAACTGAATTATATATATATTTTGGTTTTTCGAGACAGGGTTTCTCTGTAGCTTTGGAGGCTGTCCTGGAACTAGCTCTTGTAGACCAGGCTGGTCTCGAACTCATAGAGATCCTCCTGCCTCTGCCTCCCGAGTGCTGGGATTAAAGGCGTGTGCCACCAACGCCCGGCTCTGAATTTTATTTTTAACCGGTAAAATTTTACTTGAAGCTGGGCAGGTGGTGGCAAATGCCTTCAATCCCAGCACTCAGGAGGCTGAGGCAGGCAGATCTCTGAGTTCGAGGGCAGCCTGGTCTATAGAGTGAATTCTAGGACAATCAGAGCTACACTCTGTCTGGAAAAAGAAAAAATAAAGTTTTCTTACTTGTATAAAACTAGGCAGAGACAAAAGTCTTTTGCATAGTAATTATTCACTGACTGTTTACTTTATAACGGGCCTGGTGGTTATCCTCTTTGTGCATTTTCTCATTTTATTATAATGTATCCTCAGTAAATTATTCCAACTTGTATTCCCCCATTACCTGAAGTCAAGCTCGAAGTGTTTGAGGAACTGGGCAAAAACACCCAGGTAGTTGGTGGATTTGATTTCAAGTTAGTGGGGTAACCAAAGGGGGTTCACAAAAATCAGCACAGCGGGATGTGATGCCATTATATGGCAGACTCCAGAAAACAAGCGTTTTTGAAGGGCTTTCTATCCTGCAACCGGCTATAAGGAGTGTTTCCTTACAAGACTCCGCATGGATGTATGCGTAAGAGCACAATAAAATACTCACTGAGCCCCCTTTATAAGGAGGAACTCGTGCGTAACCAAGGGTGGCTTTCTGGGGCTCCTGTGGGAATTGTTCGGAAATCTACCTCCCCATCACAGGACAGGCTGAAAAGGAAGAAAGACAGGTGGAAGCGTCCGCAGGTTGGCAGGAGAAGCGCATGCGGAAGTCAGAACTTTCCGGGGGCGTCCCGGCCGCTGGTTCCACGCGCGGCGAGCGCAGGTGGCGCCGTGTGTCGGCGCCCCGGGATCAAGCCAGCGGGGTGACTGGGGACCCCCCGTGAGCCGCGGGGAAGGTGAAGCCTAGTTTTCCTCCTGGGCGAGGGAGGAGGGTGGGCAGGAAGCTCAGCCCAGCGCCGGGGAAAGAAAGACTGCCATTCCCAGCCCCCCGCCCCGCGGGGCGCGGGGCGCCGCCGGCGCATGCGCGAGGCCCGGCCCCCAATTCCCCGAGCGAGGGAGGGAGGCCCCCGGCGGCCCGAACTGCGAGCCGCGGCGGGACCGAGCGCACGCAGGGGCGCGCCGGTGACCGGGCCGGACGGGCTGCGGAGGCGCCGGTCGCGAGCACGCGAGGCCAAGGGCCGGACGGCCACCGGAGAGCACAGCGTGCCCGGTGCGGGGAGGGACCCGCCACCCGCGGCCCCCCACGCGGGGACAGCGATGCGTGAGTCTCGCCCCGGCTCGAGGGCAGGATGTGCGAGCAGGACAAAGGCTGGGCGGCGGGGGAGGAGTTGGGGACTCACAGCCGGTGACCCAGCCAGCCCCGGGCGAGCTACTGCAGCCGGCAACTTTGCAACTTTTGCAAAAGGGAACACTGGAAATTCTGCAAGTTGTTGCACACAGTTCCAGATCGCCCCAGGTTGGGCGGACCGAGAGAGGAGAGGGAGACACTGCTGGCTTTTCAGGACAGCGGGCGACCGACCTCCAGCTCCGCTGAGCGGGGCAGGAGGGGGCGCCCGTCCAGGATGGGGACAGGGACTGGCAAGGATAAGGGCGACCGAGGGCAGGGTGGGGGAAAAGTGTCTCCGACCGCTGAAGCTCCCCGTGTCCTCGCAGGGTGCGCCCCGATATCCCGGTAGCCTTGGATCTGCGGCGGTGATGGATGAGCCGTGGTGGGAAGGGCGCGTCGCCTCGGACGTCCACTGCACCCTACGCGAAAAGGTCAGTCCCTCCCAGCCCTTGTCACTCGAAAGGACAAGGACCGGGTTTTTAAAATCACTTTCGCTCTCGTGTCGGTGTCTTCAGGACGCCCCGCGTGGGAACTCAGAACTCTCGGTGCATATTTGAGCGCCTGCTCTTTTACCTTCATGGGGGAGTGTGATCTTCCTCCAGAGAGAATACCTGGAGGTCCAAGAACTTGAAGTCGGTTTTTCAGGAGAGCGGAGCTCCAGGCAACTAAATGGAGAATAGTTCTTATCCCATTGGATTTACCTCCGGAAATTGCTTTAAATGGTACAAAAATGAACTTAAAAATATTGTGTATCATTTCAGTGTGTATTTCAAAGACAAATGATACAGCAGGTCTGAATTGCATACATGATGCTGATTTTTCCCTTTACTGTAATAATGAGGTAGCAATTGCTTTTAAGGTAAAAATATTAGACTGGTGCATAGCTCAGTGGTAAAGCAGATGCCTAAATAAATGTATGTAAAAGTAGTAAAATTGCAGTTCGGTAGCAAGAAATATTAGGTAAGTTGGTGGGGAATGCATTGTTAAGGTTGGAACTGATTGGAATTTAAAAGCCAGGCCTGGAGGTGATCCCGGCTCTGTGGTGACAGAAGCAGGAGAATGCCCACAAGTTCAAGGCCAGTGGGAGTCCTCATGGTGAATTCCAGGAAGGCCTGGGGGCTGTAGAGTGACACCTTGTCTCTAAACAAGAGAAAGAAAAGAAACACTAATCTAACGCCAAGAGGTTACAAACTAGAAAGCCAAGGGAGAGAACAGAAATCCCCCTGCCAGTTGGCCTTCTGTGGTAGAAGGTGGGGGTGCCTGAAACGTGATCCTGGCTCCCCTCCCCTTCCCAGGCTGCTGGTGGCTGCTGGGAGGCTGGAAAAGCCCAGTGGACTGGAGGCTCCCCTGTGTTTGTTTCTCCCTTCTGACACCAGGGCTGGCGAGGGGGGTGGGGACAGTTGGTGCGATGTATGGAAGTGGAGCTACTGTACCAAAGCACTGGAACTGGAGGACATCCTGCACCAAAAATGTGTTCTCTGATGTTGGAAGGGTCGCGAAGATGACGTTTCCATCTTGTTTTTGAGACATAGTCTTGACATGCAGCTCAGACTAGCTGTATACTTATTGTATGGTCCAAGCACTTCTCAAATTCATGGTCCTGCTGCCTCGGTTTATCTCCTATGAGGGTCTGTGTCCCTTTTCTCCTAGGAGCCCACCCTAACCAGATAGGACCCAGCTGTACTTCAGCTGGTTGACCTGAAAGGATATGACTTTGAAGCAAGTTCATACTCTCAGGTTCCAGGCGGACATGAATTTAGGGGAGAGGTGTTCTCAGCTGGTGTGTCAGCCAAATGTAGGACAGAAGTTGTCTTATTGGAGCTTGTGGGTCACCGTGGGGTTGGGTCCCCCTTTCAGCACACGTGTACTCAGTGTCTGTGGCAGTCCTGTTTAAAAGTCCCCTGGTTCTTCAGGACGGGTGTGTGCCTCACTGGGGAGTGAGTGTCTTCCAGTCACAGACGTGCTTTGTTTTATTTTTTCTCTTTCTCTCTACCTGTTGACACACCCCCTCACCCCGAGTAGCTTTCCCATGTTACTTGGCTCTTTTCAGAATAAAATGTTCCAGTCTGGGGATCTGGAGACAAAGTTGGGTCCTAATAGTTCTTTTCAAAAGCACGTCATGATACTACACACCTTTAACTAAGCATTCAGAGTTTGGAGAGTTCAAGGCCAGAAAGCAGGGCCAGAGGAGATAGGGGTTGTACATGAAACAGTATGTTCTTAGTCCTTTTCTAGAAGTATTGGCAGAATGCAGGTAGTGGGGGCCACTGGGGAGCTTGCCTTCCTGATTTAACATACTTCAAGTGGTTGCCATTTCTGCACATAGCTTAGGGCCTGACGGGACCAGAAAACTCTATGGAAACAATGTAACTCAGAGTTCAGTTGCCTGAGACATTCCAGGCTTGAAGCTGACCTTAGGGTCAAATCTCATTAGTTACAATGTCCCACTTCCTCCAAATACTGCTGACTGTATTCTTACTGTATTTCTTCTCCCTCTTCAAAGATGTTTAAGAATGGCCTAATGGAGTTTTGAGTGAAAGGGACTGGTACCCCAGCTGATCTCCTGTCTTTGAGGAACAAGGGCTGGCCCATTATCTTTCCCAGACAGGGTGACTTTTTTTTTAATTAGACATCAACTCTAATAATGTGTTCCTACTACTGCAGAACAACTTCCTAAGTGCCTGGTACACACTGGACACTAGCGCTTTGTTGAATGTTACTAGCCAAGCACAAAGCATGTTCGCATACAGGCTGTGAGATTGTTTTGGGGGACTACCAGCAGCCATCCTCTCCTGATGGCTGCAGGGGACACAGCTGCCATCTTGGGAACACTGGGAGCCCCATCTCATCAGATGAGAGAGTCTGGTTAGCATCATACGACAATGTGGACAAGTTAACACCATGGAAATGAGTCTTGGTGTTGAATGCAAACGAGTAATGGTGGCGTCTCCTGAGCTGATTGTTCATCTTCTCTCAGCCCAGATGCTGTGGCTCATTCTTCCCACATAACCAGAATCCCACTGGGTCACTTTTTTGCTTCAAGATCTGTTGCTCTTCAAGTAAAATTCCCAGGGGACTGGATGGTTCCATGATGAAGAGCGCTGGTGGTGCTTTCGGAAGACACAGGTTCAGTTTCTAGTGCCCACGTGACTGCTCACAACTATCTGTAACTCCAGTCCTGGGCCTTCTAACCCCCTCTTTTCTGGTCTCTGTGGGCACTGGGAGTAAATGGTGCACAGATACATATTTAGGCAAAACACCCATGCACATTATGAATAAATACAATATTCAAATAAACTTCCCTGTCTACACTTTTACCTGGACTTCCTGACGTAGCCTCCCTGGCCTATTCTCTTATCTTGTCTCCATCTCCTTCCCTTGGAGCTACACTGACTTCCTCTCTGTCCCTTGAACTAGTCAAGCTTCTTCATGCCCCAGGGCCTTTATACTGGCTGTTCACTGCAGTCTGTTTCCCAGTCTGTCTAATCTATTATTCCCCCATGGCACTACTAGATCACCCTGTTTTATTTTCTTTATAGCATTTACTAATATCTGAAATTGACCACTCTTCTTTTCTGTCTTTCCCCTGATTCTAAACACAAAAGTCTGCCTAAGCCTATCTCGTGCAATTCTGGGACCTCCATGTCTAGAATGGAGCACTCCCTATATGTTCAAAATGGAAAAAAAAAGAATCATTCAATAGCTTCTTCTATAAACTAGGGAAAAATATTTTATAGGAATTTCAAGGCTAAGGTAGACAATCTAAAAATATGAGCTATGTGGAAGGCGTGTGGCCGGGGTGTTCTTTCCTCCTTAGGATTGTTATGTGGGAGGCCAGTGAACTCCTTCATAATATATGTGCTCAGGTAAGGATTGGGTTTGTAGAGTCTCCTGGTCTCCCTAAATGTGACAGTGATCCCTATAAGAAAGGCATCTCGGGGGGTCTGGAGAGATGACTCAGTGAAAAAAATACCATGCAAGTGTGAGAACCAGAGTTCAAATCCCCAGCATGCACAAAGAAGCCAGGCAAGCCTGGTAGCCTATTGTAATTCCTATACTCCAGAGGTATAGTGAAGGTATTCTAAGGGCAACCAGGCTAGCTAGAGTAGCAGAATTGGGGCATTCCAGGTTCAACAGGAGACCTTTCCTTAATAAATAAAGGGTGAATGGAGAAGACATTCAGTGTTAATTTCAGGCCTCTAACACATATATGTACATTCTCACTTCCAGGTTTTTTATTTTAGGGCATCTTAGCGGTGTGTGGTGGCACAAAACCATAACTTGAACACTTGGGAGGTGAAGGCAGGAGGAGTTCAAGGCCAGCCTCAGCTACATAGTGAGTTGGAGGTCAACCTGAACTACATGAGAAATTACCTTACCCTCCCTGCCAGAAAAAGAAAAGCATTGTCATCTCGTGAGACCAGTGGGTGGTGGTGGGTAACTCTCAAAAGTGAAAGTGACAGGGTAGTTTGCTAAAAGCCATGTGTCTAGTGAGAGCAGGACCCAGGAATAAGATGGTGCATCCAAAGACTTTCCACCTAGCCTAGAGAGGACCCAGGAACTGACTGGGTGCAGGGTGCCTTTCTACCAAATGTCTCTGGAAAAATGTCTCCCACTTCTCCCTTTGCAGGCCACCTCTGTCCCACAACAAGCCCTTAAGTCCCTCCTTTGGTCCTCCTTCTCAGTCCTGCAGCTTCCATGGAAGACCCCTGTAATCCTAAAACACACTGTCCCCCAGCTTTGCCCCTTCCGACCTGTCTGCTGTGAGTTGGACAGTAGCTGCAGCTCCTAGAGGAAAATTGGTTTCTCCCCTGTGCAGTGAACACGAGAGAAGAACATAGGACCACCTGGAAGGATGGAGGTTGGTGGTGGTAATGTTTTTTATGGTCCATACCCTTTGAGTATCAGATTAAAACCTAGAACTATTTTTTTGTCCCCCAGGAAAATGCATCATCCTCCTAGGTTTAAAGTTAACACAGTCTTCATCTTAGGCTCACAGTCTTTAGTCTTAGGTTTGCACAAGTTTGGGGTGCACATAGAGGCAGGACACAGATAGTACCTACTTTGAGACTCATCTTCTTCATCCTGCAAGGTTTGGCCTCCCCACTGTGTCCCAGTCTCACTAATCTTGTATTTACTTTTTTTTTTCCGAGACAGGGTTTCTCTGTATTGTTTTGGAGCCTGTCCTGAAACTCTGCTCGCTAGACCAAGCTTGGTCTCGAACTCACAGAGATCCACCTGCCTCTGCCTCCTGAGTGCTGGGATTAAAGGCGTGCGCCACCACCTCCCGGCTTGTATTTATTTTTCTATGATCTTTGTCATCCATGCAGTAGCTACTCCTTCAAACTCCGGCTGTGAGCAGTTTGTGGGCATGAGATATGCCTTATGCCTTAGCACTCCCAGCCCAGTGTCTGGTGCAAAAGGACCTCAG